ATGGTGGGGGTAGAAAGACGATTAGAGTGAGAGGCAGGAATAATAAGATCGTTCTTTCTCTGTTTACTGAAGCCTGATTGGTTGTTGTTAATCCAACAATCAATCAGGCTGTTAGAAACAACAGTAAACAGAGAAAGAACGATCTTATTATTCCTGCCTCTCACTCTAATCGTCTTTCTACCCCCACCATTGCCATCAGCGATCCATTCTAGATGTCGATGGGTTTGGTAGAACGGTGCGAGAGGCAAGATATCGGGGCAACCTGTCCTTCTCTGCGCGTGTATCTTGACATTCTTGACAAAATCAAAATGGCTGACTACGTTAGGATCGTCTGGATTCTTTGCCTATTGTGTTACTTTGCGTCACCCAGTATTCTGATGGGCAAGGAAAAAATATTCTGTTACGCTTAAATGAAGCATATGTTGTACGTATTGTATGCATATATATAAGTAGAGGTTAAAATGTTTTATTTACGTCTGAAAGAATATTTTTTCCTGTTTCAAATTTCTTTTGATACCCACATGCGTTGCACGCCTCCATATTCAATTTTTTTTACAAAAGAAACAATACTAACAGTTATTAATAATAGGTGCAAAGAATACAGACAATTCTAACGTAGGCAGCTATTTTGATTTTGTTAAGATTGTCAAGATGCGCGCGCAGAGAAGGACAGGTTGCCCCGATATTTTGCCTCTCGCACCGTTCTGCCAAACCCAGCATATACTATAGAAAAGTATACGGATGCTGGGTCTATCTTATATGTCTATGGTTCACACTCCACCATACGATCTGCTTCATCGAGTATAAAGGTACAATTTCATGCAGCGAAGCTTCGCTGGCGAAGATTCCCCACTCCGCCGACAACGAAGCCAGCGTTCAACGCTCTTCGCTGAAACCCCGTATTCTTTTCATGGGCGAAGCTTCGCCAGCGATGTTCCACTACTGCGCTGCAAATAAAAAGAGCGTCCTGGAAAAACCTAACTCTAAATATAAAGTGAAATATTTTCAACTCTTCGGTAAATATAACGAAACATTATTTTTATCTTTATTAATATTTAGTATTACCAAACGATTAACTGTTTGGAACTATTTACTACATATTTAATTATACAATATTATAAATAATATAATATATTATATTATCAATACTAGAAATTAAAAAATGCGCCTATTACGGTCGAAGCTGGATTTTCGTTGCTTTTTTAAATAATTCAATCTTGAATTACTAATATACACTATATATGTACTTGCATATATACCATATTGTAGTCTTTTTCAAACTGCACGCC